CAAATATCCTGTATATAACATTAATTTCTTTTTAAGCTGATTATAACCTTATATCCACCGATCGCATTAGGATTTACTGATGTAACTACTGATCCAGGATTTGGTGATGTACGAGGACGTGCCACTGGTTTTGGTTCCTCCTCAGAGATACTGTTGGTTCTTGAGGCTCTTGGTAAAGGCTTTGGTGGAACAGTTTGTCCTCCATTTTGTATCTTGAGCTTTTCTTCTTCTATCTCGGGTGGCTTTTTCAAATCTTCAATCTTATCAGTATTTATGATGTTGTCATTTTTCTCTATATTGATATCATTTTCACGTTGTAGTTCATTCATAGTTGTCACGTTGCTCTGCACTTTCGAGAATCCTTTTGGCGCGGTAATGACCAAGGGTTTCGATGATCGGTTCGTTTGTTCTACTTTAATTTCGCGCTGATTGTCTTTGAGTACCGCTAAGTTCCCTTTGTGTACCTGGAGGTACGGTAAAATCCTTAATGACCACAAACTGCATGCAAACCAAACTACACTGTCCAATATTTTGCACTTTTGATATACATTTTTGCATAATCAACACGATAATTTAACAATAGCAACAATTCAGCTACATTCACATTATTATTACATGTACGCACGTAGCTCGCATTTTTGTACAGAATAGACAGCAGTACACAAAAAAAAGATACAAATATAAGCTTTAGCTTTAGCTTAAAGTATTTCGTGATTAAATTTGTTGGAAGTAAATTTACAAAAAGAGATTATCTCATGGCCAATACGAATGTTTTTACATTTCATACTATTACTTACACTGTAGAATAAGCTACAACATCAATTGCCACTTATATTACACGTGCCAGGAATAATAGTTCGAATGGTGCTAATGTATAAACTATAAAACATATATTGGATATCTGAAACGTGAAAAAAAAAATATACACAGAATATGGAGAAAGAAATTGAATAGCGCAAAATAAATGTATACATAATTAGTAATAATCAAATAATTTAATAAATAGAAATTGCGACAAAAGATTAAATATCGAGATATAAAATGTTATATAATAAAAAAATATTTCTTACATTATAACATTCTATTGATTTCTCATATTTATAATGTATTTATAATACATAATGTCGTACTAAGAATTACAGAAAAATTTAGCACTTTGTATAATCATAAAAAGTATATTGCAAACATTTATATATAATAAATTACATAAAAACCAACTCATATATTCAGCAAGCAATTTTTTTAATAAAGTTACATTGCAACACTTATTATCTTGTACAAACCGTTTTATATAAAATAAATAGCATCATATTGATTACTTTTATCATATTCTAGAATAAGTTAGAAAACATAACGTAAAGTTTACTTAAAAGTATACATATCTACATTAAAATAGGTATTGCACAAAGCAAATACATAAATAAATTAATTGTAACAATTCAATATATATTCTAAAAAATCAGTTGTTTTAGAGAATATGGGATGATAATGCGAGAAAACATGACGATGAAAAACATGCAATTATCGATGATTTGTATTTAAAGCAATAATATAACTGATATTAACAAATAAGCAAACAAAATTTTAACGAAAGCTTCTTCAAATGTATGCCACATTAAGAACGATATGAGAACTTGCACAGCATTTAAAATATTTACTCACAGTAATCGGTTCTTGGCCTTTGTTTCTTTTGACAGGATCTAGCGATATCTTTGGTACAGGTGCATTATGACCTTTAAGCCATGATGTTGCGTTATTTTGAGCAACGGGACCACTTGTATCCGGGTAAATGTCTGCATGAAAGTCTCTATATGTCTAAAATTTAATGTTTATTAAAAAGTTTAGACATATGTATTGTATGTAGCAATACACACACACACACACACACACACACACACACACACACACACACACACATACACATTATATGTACAACTTACTTTTCGTGGAACCTGGTACATGATGGGAATTACCATATTGGAGGTAAGCTGTAACAGCCTGTTAACTTCAGCTTGCATTACATTTAATGCTCGTTTAGGAACCAGGCATACTCCCTTAGTTTGCTCACCACTGTGACGGATCCCTTCCACTAGATAAGGATCTCTCTCTGTAACTTCCATGTATATAATAGTGGTGTCTCCTTTGCCAGCGAGGAAGAGCATATTTGTGTCGGGATCGAAAAGCGGCATCAAAATACTAACAAAATATATTAAATAATTATATACAAATAATTACCTACTTATCTTAAGACATTATAATTATTATATGTATATTATATGTATTACGACATTATCGATGATTCTTTAGCAATTAGACTAATTAAATAAATCTCAAGTGAAAAGACTTCTACTCATATTTACCCGGTACTACAATCTAATTCCAATATTTTCATTGGCTCATTCAAGTGCCTCAAGTCTCTAATATAAACTTGACGAAGTCTTGCTGCATCAAATCCTGTGGTGAGTATTCTATCATTGTTTAACCAAACTGTTCTGGAATCTTTAATACTTTGGTGGCTCGAGCATGAATTAACGATACACGTTGATGCGCGCGGGTCTATAAGCCTCAGTTGTTTATCCTTGCAGGATGTTGCTAAAACAGTACCATCCTCCTTCCAACTTACAGACTGGATTACTTCGGTGTGATCGCTATTAGCTGCAACAACATAACATAAATGAGAATAAAGCAACAAGTGTCAGTGAAGTTATGAAATATTTACAAAATAATTCCTGTTGTGACAGAATATCCCAGAGTGAGAGATTGGTGAATGATGCAGTGGTCAGAAGATGTTCAGCAGAAGGATGCCAGCACACTGCTTCTACTCTTCGTTGACGATGCGAGAATGTGCATTCTGGATTGCATAAGGATTCTTCCAAGCCACTTTCTGGGATATGCCATAACTTTACCTAGTTTTATACAAATGGAATTAACGAATTACTTTTGAGATCTCCACCGATACTTTCTGTATATAAAAGTTATGTATTTTGTGAGTTATCTCCATATCCAAATACCAACATTCACGAAATATATTGACATTTCAAGAATGAATATGGATACAGAGATAATCGATGAAATACATATAGCTTCTAAATAGAATTAATGACATTTAGAAAATGTAAATTTTTAAATAGTATTTTGCATTTCATTTTTTATATTTGCTGAAAATAAAATTCTAAGATGCTTACGAGACAATCCTGAGACCCAGTTGCAAGCAAACCATCGTGAAATGGAGAAAAATCCATATCCGTCACAGTATCTGCATGTGCATGCAACAGTGGCATAGTTTTGCTTTTTCTGCCACAATCTTCCAACGGCAATACTGCTAAGCTGGATCCTTCAAGGGAAAGGAATAATGATTTTATTTAATTAATGAATAATAATTTATGAATATTCTCGAAGAGGTAAATCTATTGAAGGTAAATACAAATGTAATGTACCATTATGATCGACATTGAATGCCATGAACGCTGCGGATGCTGTAATATTATTGCCATAGGTCTGGTACGATCCCACAGAGATATCTCGAATACAAGCCTCTGGCTTGGGAACGATTGGCGCTGCATTTTTGTATTTGGACGCTTTGAAACGCCAAGCCATTTTAACACACTGCTGACTCTGTTTAAATGTCCAGGCAATCCACTTAAATCATGTAACCTGAAAGAAACACCAAGTTACATCATTAGAATCAATTTCTCATTATCAATCAATTTCGAAACATTGTACGTAATCAGATATCATTTGCTTTAGCTTGAACACTCTTGAAAACAATAACTGATTGAAGTGTAAGAAGAGAGTATTTTCCGAGCATATGTAGACAGTATTACAATTTTTTAAAGAGATATATAGGCACAATTTTGGGACAGGACAAAGGCCAGCGTCCACGGAATTTTTTATTGACAAATCTTGTGAGAAAACTCAGTTTTTCAACCGAGATTTCGCGCAGAGACACTTAAACACATGCGAATAATTCGCTGGGCGTTGCTCCTGGCAGGAATAATGGTAGGGAGAAATCGACGCCGGAATCTCTCTCTCCCTTTCCCTCTCACCCTCTCTCTCTCTCTCTCTCGAGACCGGGCATCAACGTACGGCGTCGGTGACAACAAATAAACGACGCCGACGCAATTCGTTCAGTCGGAGCCGCCTGAGCAAAGCCGTGTGTGACTAATAATTTGGGGGTGGAGAATCACCCTACCTTCATATGACGTATGGGGACCGTAGATCGCCGCTTGTCGCAATGACGCTGTCAGCAGCAGCGACGTATGTAAATCGGCCAATGAGAAACGCGAAATACTCACGGGGATTCGCAATCGAGGCGTGTTTACGCGTGCCAATCTTTGACGCGCTTCCGCGACGAGTTAAACGAGTATCCAGGAATACAGCTGACAACGAACACGAGAGACCAAGGAAAGTCAGGCAGCGTCACTATACGTTACTCTACCGAGCTCCAACCAGCTCCGAGCTCCGACCAGCCCGATCAAGCTTTACGGTTGACAGCCGGAAGCAGGAAAGTCCCCCTCCATCCTCCTTCGGGGAGCCACACTTTATCCCTCCCCCACGATAACATTGTTTCAAGTCTCCCAGTCCCGTAGATATATATTAATGATTACTTCCCTCATATTCGTATTAATTGTTGGTTTTGTTTACTGTTTTTCGTTTTTTTTTATTTTCACGTTAATTTATTATTCGATTCCACACGAGTATGTGGCATACATATTTTCCGATACATTTTAACGAAAATTATAGAATAAGATCCCATCTCTAACGCTAAATATTCCTGAAATATTTGTAAAAGATTCCTAAAATCCCCAAAAATCATTCCAAGAGTATTCCGCAATATATATACCGAAATATTTATGGAATGTAAAAACAATATTCAAATATCGTTTAAAAATGTCATTTATATATCGTTACATATTATGAGAACGTTCTATGTATATTCCGCAAACATTTTAATTTTTTCAGAAATTTCAGGCCGGTCATGAAATAATTTTTAAACAAAATTTTGCTTTGAAAAACGCACTTTATACTTTCATTTTGGAGCCCTATTTTGAGGCTTACTTTATAGACAAAATGCTGCACTCATATTCTTTCCCAGATGATTCTTAATGTAATGTGAGTAAATGCTCTCCGCTGCGGCCTTCTGTCGGCGGAGGTGTGTACTGCTCGTAATTTTCGTGATATACATACAAGGAGTATTCATACACAATATTCCAACATTTTATATTGTGACATTTATATATTCTGTGATGAATCTTTCACTGTGCTGAAATATTTGGCATTGAAAATACGAATCGAAATTTTCTATAAATATATTTAGCGTTAGCTGGGATATGATGACAATTAGACAAATGATACACAAATCTAAAAAGAAGTTTACAAATTTTGTAATTATAAATTTATATGCAAAAGTGAAATTATTCTTTTAGAAGAGCCAACTGCAACAAAGGCATTACTTTTAGAGAAGATAAGTCTGCTAACACAGCCTGAAAATAAGACAATGTACTTATAGGTAGTACTGCGCGCGCACACACAACTACTTGTAATTCACTAAACATAAAGTAACAACATTACATTAATATTAATTTCCTACTCAATAATGTAATTATCTGTTATATACAACGTGCACGTTATATTACATTTATATTATTGGAAAATTGCAATTAATGTAATGTTATTGTTATTTTGTGTTTAGCAGGAATTCATATAATGATATCATTTCCATACCTCTACATTCTGTTGAGTATTAACTTGCAATAAATTTTCTTTTCGAAAACTCAATATTGTCACTGCCAATAGTGGAATAATTTCCAAAGAATCATAACCGAGAATTAAATCCCAAAGATACAATAGTTGTTCAGGTGGTAAATGACCACTGAAACCTCTCATAAGCCATTTGAAGACTATTTTTATGCTAGAAATGCATAGACGTTAAATTAATGGATTGCGCAAATAATACTACAGGCAGCTATAAAGAGATAAACTCACGGTTGAATATGTATATTTTTGAAATGAACCCACAACTGCGGTTCATGGCACTGCAGTAATCGTTCAAAAAGTAAGCAGAGAGCAACTATACCTTGTTCATGACTCGATACAGTGTGCAAACGGAACCAGTATCTCAAGTAGAATGCACGGAAAGTATAATACGTAGTGCAGGGATTATCATATAAATAACAAAATGGCGTAGCTGATGTGGAAATATTGACAATTAATTAATTAGAAAAAAAAACATAGTTTAACAAGATTAGTATTCAGAGACCATTTTGAGAATCTTGTCATGAAATGCTACGTACAATTCTGTGAATGGTTTACGATTGTACATACTTAAGATAATCTTAAATATAAGAAGAGACTAACTAAATCAGATCTTTTGCAATTCCTTACCATACATTGTAAATCCATGGAACGGAATAACACCACTTGGTGGAAAAACCAAAGTATTTTCCAGTGTCGCTGGTTTGCCTTGCAAAACCGCGTGGATCACTTGACTCCCGGCACTTCTGTCGGTTGTGACTGGGGCAAGTATTTCAGAATCTCTCGAAAAGCATAACATTGTCTTATATAAAACATCTTCAAATACAAAGTATTGATCATCGTTTCTCGCCGTTAATTGTACATCCTATTAACACGCAAAATGTCTTACATTGTTTCTTTTACTTAGGAGTAGATAATATAATTTAAAACATGTTACCATTATTATCAGCTTGTCTATCACAATATCATATTGTAAAACCATATTTTTCAATTCCTCGTAATATTCTATATCCTAAAGAAGAAAAATTATATATCCATTGATAATAATCAGAGACATCAATCTTTAGCTTACAATGCAACAAAGATCATTGCAACATGAGATATTAATCATACATTATCTTTGATAACAGATCCGAGAACGAGTGACCAAATACGACCACGCAAAGCTCGGGGGGATCCTCTTTTAAGAAATTCCTGTGCAATCGGGGCATGATTCGAGTTTAATACTTTTTCGCCAATGTGCGTTCGCTCGGCTTCCAAATTTGGGAAACCTTCTGTGGCCGGCATATCAGGATTTATTCCTAATAATGGCAGTCCCTGTGATAATTCTGAGTACATATGTCTCTATACAAAGAAATTTATATATACATTTATGTATACAAATTATAAATTATAACTAAGAAGCGATTAGATAAAATTCGCACCAATTGCGCAAGCGTCTTTACACTAATCTGTATATGACTAAAATCCCAATTTAATTCGTCTCTGAAATGTTTTGATAATAATCTTTATACAGACACATTTTTATTCATATAAAGCTGGATAAGATTGATTTTTATACAAATCTGTACAATTACATACAGTTGCTTTTTGAATGAAGGATCACGTATGGAGAACAATACATCTAGAAAGTCCTTTGGTGCATATAGTGGTCGGTATTGTGATAAATCTAAAAATCATATCCTGTAAGTAACTCAAAGTACAACTTGAATCATATCTTTAAATTCACTAATATTCACCCATATCATAAGTGCTCAATTCATTCCACTTTTCAGCTAGTTCGTCCCTATCAGCAGTGGATCTTATACGAGCCAGTGGAATGTTCAATTCACTGCATGTTGAATTTAATGACTTCTGTATGCGTCGTTCCCATTGAATCTGTGTCTTCTTTAGGTAGCTCAAGTCAGCTGTCTGTATGTGCGAAACTGATCGAGAATGCAGCGAACCCTGCAGAGGAAGAGAAGGAAGTGGAGGGGGAAGGAGAGAGAAACAAAAAGATGCATTTAGATGATTTGTATTGAGCCTTATTCTTGAAAAATATCACATACAGCCTTATATAATACATGTTATGTACATTAGTTTTTTTTCAAATGCGATATAAATTCAAGAATAGGCGCCCTGTTATTTGTTGCTGCACTAGATTGCACTAATATTTCCTTTCTTGCTTGTGCCAAACTTTAAATATACATACATATATTTAGTTTCAAGTACAGTGAGCTCTATAATATATTAGCATCTTTCTTATACTAAATTAAAGAAAATTGTAGGAAGAAAAGAAAGGCATATAAATACTTACCTTTCTGTCTTACTTATATTTTAAAATAACATTATTTCAGTGAATTTCTAATAAAAAAAAAGTACAATATCAGAGTGTCTAGGAATTAAGACACTTCCATTCCTCGATGGCTTTATATTATAGAGCTCACTGGAGTAAATAGTTAAGCCACAAATAGAAAGTTCATTATGTGTTGATTGGGGAATACCCGTGATCGTGCCCAGTGAAACACTGTGTTTCTGATTTCAGTCTCCAGACCATTATCTTTAAGTGCTGCGATCAGCGAGTTCTTAAAGTCATCTTTGTTCACGACGGATGACGCGACAAGTCTCTGCAAATTAAAAGACAGATGGGAAATGCGCTGCCACCGCTTTTACGGGCGTTCAACAACAAGTACCGAGCACGCACCTGTATCTCATTGTAAAGTGCCTTGTAATTCGACATACTCTGTATGTCATCAGTGAGCCTCCGCGCCGTCTTCTCGAGCGAACTCGCGTTCTCCATAGTCTCCTCGTTCATTCTTCTTCGTAGAATCGTTTCAGGAGCGCAATCAAGGCGAAATCAAAAACATGCGCCATTTTTAAATAAAAACACGGTCTCTATGGCAACCGGCAACCGCACGTACGCAGTCAGCAGTACCAAACGCACTGAAATATAGGATGTTTTCCAATTACAATATCCCTAGATACCTGGGACGAAATCATATGATAGGGGAATCAATATGCGGGACAGAGGATGCGTGATTTGAACAGCCAATCTAAAAGTGGGAAAAACATGGGATAGAAAAATGCGGAATCCCGCATGCTGATTCCTGCATCGTATCATTTCACTCTGACACGCTTTCGTGCATACGGCGACACAAATTGCGTTCCAATCAGGAAATCGATTCTGTATCTTGAAACGAGATGAAAATTACAAAAGTGAACGAATTTAGATAGAACACTGATAATTTCATTGGTCAACACCTAGTAAATTTTTGTAATTTCTCACTTTTGTAATTTTCATCTTGTTTGAAAATAATCGACCCTAGTGCACGCTGCGACACAAATTGGATTCTAATTGTCCGTTATCGCGTCTAGTATCCCTAGAATACAGAGTCCGGCAATCGGTCCCTAAAAATGGTGGATACATCTGCGCGTTTCTGCCGCAATTTGCACTAGCGCAACAAAACGAGAGAAAGAACATGCCAGCCCAAAATCTGTAACCACAAAATGCTGCCGCGCACTACTGCCCCCTGACAAAGTAGATATAAACTACATAGTTTTGACGGTAATATGTCCACTTTTCTGAGGATAATATGTTCAACTCCAGATGATAAATCGATACTTGATTCATAATCGTGCTATATTCACAAATTGTGCATAAAAAATATTTATCTCTGCAATCTAACACTCGCGTAATGTTTATTTCGCTTAAAGTATTGATATTAAGGTTATATTATATTTTTAAATGTGTTAATATTTATATTTTAAATATAAGCTATCAAAATACCAGAAGACAAAACACAAAATACTAAAAGATGGTGAAAGGATATCTTTTTCAAGTTGTCTTTTCGGCAAAGCGATAAATTGACTAAAAGATATCTCTTCGTCTTATCGAAAAGACAACATAAGAAAAACATCTTTCCCACAAATCGAAAAAATATATATTTTTCTAACAAACGCAATAAAAATGTTAATATATTATATTAAATTTTAATATATGATATTAAAAATTTTATATTTATATACGGCACTAATAATTTATTTAATATCATTTATTTAATATTCAACATATTTTCCAGCATTTTCCATTCCTTTCCGTGCAGCGTGAGATGGCGTCATAAAGCCTATACATTAAGATATAAGGAAATCGAGATTGGATTCGCTACTGACCTTATGATCTCTACCGTTAGGCATTTCGCTTACTGATTACGTCTTATGGCCTTACATTTTTGTATATGTCATGGGCTTAAATGTACCTGCAACTATCCGAACAACATATTTCGATACGCGCTTTCGCTATTAACCTCCATACAAACTTAACGTTAATGTATAGTTGAGGAATATCGAAAAATCAATTCGTTTTACAACTGCATTTAGAACTTAAACGGTACTGCTTGTCGGGACGTAGCTCCACTCGAAATTCATCCGCGAAGCTCCATTAACAAAGATGGCTGCCAACTTTACGCGCAAAATGATAGGAATTACATGGAATGATATAGATATAAATATATATATATAAATTGATAAATAAGACGCAATAAATTGTCCGAAAATATATTAATATATATTAATATATATGCGAATTTCAATATCACATGTGTAATATCTTTCGAATGCACTAATTTTCCCGCGAATAAGTAAATGTTGAATCTAAGCATCGCTACCCAGTTGATTTGATGCTTTCGACGTCGATCGATGTCGAATCGATATCGATTCGATGTCGATTCCATTATCATTTCTGACTGGGTAATGAAATAATTATCACGAATGATATATAATTCACATCATCCGTAATAATTACTTCATTAGCGATGCTTAGATTCAATATTTAGCTATTCGCGGGAAAATTACGCATGAACATCGCGATAAAATAGCAAATTATACTTTCCGTTGTCTACGACTTTAAAATACTCTCTAGTAAATTATTTATACCAGTTGCTTGTTTCAAGGAACGATTGTCTGCGCTGCCTCGAATAGCTCACGAGTCATTAATCACAGTAATTGATCGATTGTGCGAACTCACAACTAATTGTTCGTAGAAAATGATTGTCTTATTTTCACTTATCATTCCGAAAAGTATTAGAATACGACGAGAGACAATTATGCATCGCTATCCGTTCGCTCGAGCCAAGCCGCGCAAATGATAACAAAGCGTGAACACCGTATGCTGTGTATGTATAAGTTATAATACGACGTGCTAAATAATTGTACGAAATATTTTACATATGAAATGCGATTAGAAAACATGGTAGTATCTCGGTGCTAAGAGAATTATAATAATATGATGAGAGACAACAATTGCCCGTCCGCTCGAGCTATAGCTGCATAAATGATAACAAAGCGATCTTACATGAATACCGCACGCTGTGTATGCAGTTATAACACGTTGTGTTAAGCAGTTATACAAAATATTTTATATACACTTCAAAACTTATTGTAGAGAATTTTTTTTGTGAATCCTACTCTGAAGAGTAAATCCCACACTGTTAAAAAAAAAAAGAAATTTGCTTCCGTTATATATGTAATGGAAGCAAATTTCAAGCAGATACATTAAAAATATTTAATGTTGCCAATGAAAATTAAGTTGTAAGTAACTTAAATTTAACATTTACTTATATTAAATTTCATGCAAAGCTATATAAAATGTACTAAACTTCGTAAAATTTTATGAAAAGTATTTAATATATTGGGTCATCTAAAAAGTATCCGCGGTACTTTGTTACTAGATATATGACCATCAACATACATCTAGTGACAAAAAACCGCGGATACTTTTTAGATGACCCAATATATTAAATTTCATGTATACAAACATACTTTTCAGATACATTAAATTTAATTTCGTGTCATAAAATTGAATTAAATTTGTATAACACTTGAAAGTATATTAAATTTCATGATTTACATCATTTTTAACAGTGTAACAGCACAAAACTTACAGCAATATTGTTGCAATATTACACCTTGCAGCAATATTGTTGTAAGTTCTGTGCTGTTGAACAAAATTTAGTTCACTCATAGATTGAAAACTGAGTCACTCTTTTATAAGAATAGTTCAATTTTCATTCTAAAGAGTGAGATTCCACTCTAAAGAATTTAGAGTCCGAATGTGTGAACATTCAGATTCATTTTCCTTCCTTGGAATCGGAAAACTTTGGGATTATTATCACACATTTCGCGTTTTACTTTGTAGACTCATTAGCGTCGCTAATATATGTATATACAATGTATTCTTATCTTGAAATAAATATGTATTCTTATCTTATGAATTAGATGACGCTAATGAATCCATAAAATAATGATATATCTTGCTTATACATACATGTTATACTAAAAAAATATAATCCTATTGTTGCTAAAAAAGTTTGATAATAAAGATAAACAGCTAAGTAATTATTTCATTTAAAAAGTTATTAAATATGTTTAATTCTTATTTAAGAACTAAAATTTTCTTTCGTTTCAATTGCAAAAAGTATTTGTGCAAAAATGAAATTTTATCATTTTTTTAAATTTTGATATGTTTTAAAATCGTATGTGAAAAAAAAACGAATTTACTAAACAAATAATTGTAGTTTTAATAAGAAAATGTGATTAAATTACCGCGCAGAGTATAATATTTTAGTCTCATTATCTGGATTTATTAAAATTACAATTTTATTTTTCTCAGGATTAAAAGATTGACTTTAATCAATTTGGAGAATCTATTATTAAAAGATTTATTGTTAATATATATATAAACAATTTAAGGAAATGTTAAATATTTATTGTATATAAAAAATAATCTTATTAAAACTTGATATTTTATCTCTTACAAGATGAATATTTTATCAATATAAAATATTGATCTATACAGATGAATAATTGCACGAATAAAGAAGCAAAATTTTATTCCGATAGTGTATCAAGATATACTACATTAGCTTTTATCGTGTTGCAGGCGCGCGGATGATGTATCAATACTTGCCAAAATCTGTGGGTCTCAGACGTATTACTTTGCACAAATCGATGTCACAAGGCAACAAGATGTATCTGTTAATCTGCGAGTGTTTGCAGCTGCAAGACAATCTATCTGCTACGGCAATACTTCTGCCGGCACTTCGTGCACGTCTGTGCGGATACACCGGACTTTACAGACCCTCCGTATGCTTCTGATTCCTCACCCGGCTGTTAGAGTCTGCGAGAAACATCCTTTCGAATTGCATTATGTACTCTGCAGAAAAATCCAAACGAAATGATGTCGTATCAAATGTCAATCTTTTACTTCACGATTCTATTTGTAACTAAACAAATTGATATCAATATCTTTCAGTTAATAGTAAAACGATATCGATAAGCAATGATATCGATCAGCATTTATATTTTTGATCAGAATTAATTTTGATTTTGCAGGAATATAATTAATACTATTAGGTGTACAAATAAGTTTCCGTCGTTTGACAAAAGACGCCACTAGTAAGCTATGGTTAAAATTGTCTGATGTAAAACATTATATCGTAAGGTTGGACATCTGTCAACAACATAATCTTGAAATACTAGCGATTTTGTATCAGCATCATATATTTTTTTTGTGCGAAAATGCCGAGTTTTGAGTCGAATAAGCGTCATTTGCGGGAACTTTTGATTTACTTCTTTAATTTGAAGAAATCTGCAACTGAGGCTCATCGATTGCTTGTAGAAGCATATGGTGAGGCTGCCTTAAGTGAGAGAAGTTGTCGTGAATGGTTTCAAAAATTTAAGAACGGTAAATTTGACGTCGAAGACAAAGAACGTAGCGGAAGGCCGAAAGTGTACGAAGACGCGGAATTGGAAGCATTATTGAATGAAGATTTGTGCCAAACGCAAAAAGAACTTGCACTTACATTTTGACTTACATCAATAAAACATTATGTATCGTTCTTTCACAATAAATGCTTAATTTTTGATAAAAAACGGCGGAAACTTATTTGTACACCTAATATAACGGGAGAAAAGATGCGATACCTATTTGCAGGAACTGAGGATATATCGTCGCAAATGTTGTTAACGAACGAGACACTGTGATTTCTATTGTTATCGTATTACCTATTATAAGGAGCGCA